TCAACATTCATACATAAAATTGCACTGTTGTGAATAAAACCAGAATAAAACCAATAATACTATAAATAAATAAATAAATAAATAAATATTGCAGTGGCAGCAGGGTTAGTGCATGTTTGTGTTGCCCAATGCCATAACCTTGCTGAACACAAACATGCACTAACCCTGCTGCCACTGCAATATTTATTTATTTATTTATTTATTTATAGTATTATTGGTTTTATTCTGGTTTTATTCACAACAGTGCAATTTTATGTATGAATGTTGAATGTGCTCCCAGGACACAGCCCCCCAGCTGTGGAGGTACCCAGCATCGCAGCAAAACAGCTAAGCAACGGCCCCAAACCGCGACCCTGGCCCCCACCAGGCCTGGAACATCACCACAAATACCCTGCAACACCTGCCAGCCCCCCATTACACAACACTGAGTGCACGCCACCACGCCAACGCCAGAGAGCAGCCGCAGAGCACAGGCAGCCACACACCACTGCCCACAGAGGCATCTGGCCCCCAGGGCCTACTTACTTTGTTCTTTGTTCTTTGAAAATTCTAAATTCAAGTCCATAATTTCATAATTGATAGTTCATAATTTTATTTAATGTGAGTGGAGGCCTCAGATAGGCCCAGTGCTGGTCTCTTGCCTCTACTCTGCACAAATTTTGTTTTTTGTTTTCTGTAAATAGTTTTTTGTTGTGTGCTGAATAAATAAACTATTTTTTTTTTTTTTAAATGTTGTCTCCCACTTTGTCAAAGCCTTATGAGCCAGGTTGTGACATATTAGTAGTAATATTAGTAGTAATATTTGAATTAGTAGCAGTAATATTAGTTTTAGTGTTAGTGGTAAAGTTCTTCTGAAAGAAGTGTTTACCTGGAAACTTTTCACACGGATGTGTGCTGATAGTCATCTCTCTGCTGTGGTGGTTGTTTTTTTGTTATTTTTTGAGTCCCAAAGTTCAGCTGAAAATGATTTCCAAGAAGTGGAGGGGTTTATTTTCTGATCTTCACACCTTGAGTAACATGTTGGTTTCCATCATCATAGTGTTTGGCTGGATTGGTTTTTATTTTATTTATTTTACAACACACATACAATACTTACACAAAAGATAAAACATAAATAACAAACACCACAATCAGAAACATAATTAAACAAATTACAACAGACATTACATATACACATATACAAACACACATATACTGTATGTACATACAAATATTATATGTAATTGTAATACATAAATAAATCACTACTACCCAATTCAAAATGTACTTTCATCTGAGAGCAGAAAATATTAACCCAAATATTAAGTTATGATGTAAAAATCACTGCTCTGTATCTCAAGTTTTTGATATTGTCAGGATCTCCTATTTATTTAGGCCTGAGCTTTTAACTCTAGCTTTCAAAAATATTCTGCAAATAGAATTGTTCGAGAAATCATATAAAGGAACTCAGAAGCCGATTTTTGGGAGCATCAAATATATCAGTTTTGCTAAGTAGCACAATAGTGTTCGTCTTGATAATCCGACACAATATTGAGAGGTGATTAATGTAAAAGGATTGCTTGTTCAGATAACCACCTCACCACCTGCTGCCAAAGGAGAGAAATGGTTTACATTTGTTGAGCTGCAATAAAACAGAGAAGTGATGCTCCACTTGTCTCTGCTCCTACACTGTACTATAGAGGCTTTGTGAGATCTGGCAATATAAAACATTGGATCTGCTTGAAACATTTCTTAGCATTGATAAATCTGTTTAAAAATATGAACAATACAAGGCAAAGAGTCTAAAGGCCCTGCCAGGGACCATACTGCTCCTAACAGGAGATTCAATGGTTCTAGCAACCATATATTTATCGTTATCGTTTAAAAGTTCTACATTAAATCAAATATCTGGATCTCAAATAGTAAACAATTATAATTTGGGGACCACAGCATGTTTGTGTTAAGGTCAGGTAATAAAAAAAAAGTTTGGGAACCACTGGTGAACAGTAATATTTAGTGAATGTGCTTGTTTCATAATTTATATGTAAGACAACAGTGAATGGACTTTCTTATGCATTGGAATTAATTAATTCAAATGAATTGACATTTATATTGATTTGAGATAAAATATTGGACATCATGCCATTTCTCTCCCTCGTTCTTGACATCTCCTGTGTGTGCCAGAGGTTAACTGATCTCCACTGTGCATAGCATTAGTTTAAGGCTCTTATCTTCATGGACTCCTTATTTTCTGTGGCAGATGTACAGGCAAGGTTGACAGCCAGGAATGTTGTTGCTGTGCTGTTGTGTTGTCGTCCTCCACTCCATGGCCATCACATGTGTTTTGTTTTATTGAATGTATTGCCATGTAATACACTTTAAATGTCAAACTTCAATAAATGTTGGTAACACAAATATTGGTTGTAGACTCAGACTTCATTGCTACTAAACTGTATTGTAACTGTATTGTACTGTATTAAATTACATAACTTAATGAAACACAACTTCATGTTATACAATAACATGAATTTGTAATTACTTAAAATAAGAGCATTGATGAGCAAGCTGGGCATGCAGGAACTGGACATGAATGGAGCTGAGAAGAGAGAAGAACAAGGAAAACATTAGATATATTTCTGTCATATATAAATTAGTGATTCCATTTCAAAACAAGGTGCAGCTCTTACAGTTTTCAAGTGTTTAAAGATGATTTCATATGACTTGTGCTAGATGTCACACTCATTACATGTCTGTATACGGGGTGCATTGTGCCTTTGAGGTATATATGATGTAAGCACATCAAATACATACAGTGGTAATCAGGTTTCCAGAGCTGGTCAGTCCAGTGTGCAGGTTCCTCAAGGTCTCAACAGAGTTTCAGGTGAGGTTAAAAAAAGAAAATAAAAAAGATCAGTTAATACACCTTCAACACTTTCCATAATGCCTCCCGAGCATACTCATTCAATTACTCCGTAATTATCATACTACAATATTGCCATAAATGAGACTGACTCACCCTAATGAAAGACGTCCAGAATATGTCATGCAAGGCTGCCTTCTTCCCCTCGACTCTCCCTGAAATGCCTTGTCTTTGTCGAATGAACTCTCTCTCTCTCAAGCAGACACAGACAATGCTTTTCACATTAACCTTTTCATTCAACTGTATGTGACCCTAACCCTCTTCCTACATTCATGACAAACATTATGGATAGGGGTAATAATACCGTTACAATATATTAGGCCTATATATGACATGATAACGCTAAATGATGCTATCATTTAACATTATCATTTACATTACATTACATGACAGCATGCTGTAGAGCAATGCTAGCTACGTGACTTAACTAGGTTTTACCATAGACCGTATATAAGAAGGGGTTTTACTCACAAATATAGCTTAACAGTTACCTGATTAGTTCTATCCAACAAGTCCTCGTCTTTTTATCAGTTGGGAACCGATAAAAAGAACAAGTCCCTCTGCTGGAGTGACCGCAACTTGGTACAAAACACACAGGCATCTCTGATCTTCAATTTTCAGCGGGAAGCTGCAGGTAGCTTGTGGGAGAGCGAAAGGTTTGACGTCACATAAGCGACTGTAGTCTTTCTAATTACATACTTTCAAAATTGTATATTTCAACAGTTTTACGACAAAGTATGACTTTCTTGACTTTAAAATTTATGTTTTAAATTCATCAACAACATATTTGGAATTCATGTCACAACTCAAATGGGACCAAAAGATAATATTTTCTCCTCATTCACTGCCATTCATATTTTTTCCGATCTAAGGTCCCATGAGGTCCACCGGAAGAGGCGTGACTTCGGCACTCTATTGTTTATAGGCTTTTCATCACCTGTTGGAGTCTGACTGCAGGCTAGTCAACTTCTTCCACATCAAACTGGGAGAACCATTTCATCATGGACCATGTCAATACCAATACACAATGTTATTTGTACATCCGTGTGAGTCACGCATGTGAAAAGGTCTGCCATCTTGGACAGCTACCTATGGCTCCACCACTTGGACAAACCACATGTCACAATCTAAGTTTCCTGTCACAATCTGAGTTTTGGTTTTAACGATGGATGTGAGTAATGACCAGCTCACTGTACATTATTCTGCTTATTATACACCGGTTTACTAAAGAAATCAATAACTTGACACAAAATATTGATGTAAGAATGTTTTTGTTTTAAAAATGATTGTCTCCTCCATTCTTTGTCATCCCAGCCGATCGCAGCAGATAGCCGCCCACCTAGAGAAGGTTTGGCACATATAAATAAAACTGACTTGTCTTAAATGTGTTTTTTCTGAGCTGTCTTGTTTCCTGCTCCATTGTTGACATTAATTTTTTTTTTTTTTTTTTTTTTTTTAATCCTGTAGTCGTTTTATATTGTTTATTTTGGTAAAATGTCATAGTTGGTAAACAAACTGAATACATTGAGATATAACAGAAATATTATGTCAACAAGCACAGGCTGACTTTATGGCATTTTTTTATGTTTTCAGTTCTATTATTGTATTGTATGGCATTTTTCACAGCATGAGTTTTTACAGAAAATGTTTGGTTCCTATTCAAGATGAACCAAACAAGATGAACCCCCTGACTACACAGATGGTTGTTGGACTGACCGTATGTTAACATTATTTTGACAAGCCTTCAGTTGTAGTAGAGATAAAGCAGTCAAAACTTATCATTTTGCATTTTCACTTTTCTCACAAATCACCATTGAGTCTGTGAGTGTATGAGATTTGTCCAAGTGGTGTAGCCATAGGCAGCTGTCTAAGATGGACACAGATACACATGCACATCTGTCTAAAATATCACTTTTAACTGTAACTAAGAGCCCTGGCCAAAACTGTGGAAAACAGTATACAGGCAGGCATCCAAATTCTTTTGGATACATTTAATTTTGGCTGTACTTTCTGATTACATCTGCATGATGCATTCAGGTGACCACACAAACACTTAAGTTAGAGCTGTGATTCAAACTCCAGTAATGAAAAACATTGATAGTGATATGATAGTATAAAAATGTTTATTTTCATATTCAGTGAAAAATTAAACAGAAACTGTGAGTGCTACCTTTGAATCAAATCTTTTAATGATGCTGGATGTGAATAAAAACATAACTGGACCTAAAGGTCTGATCAGTGACTAACTTCCTGTACCTAACAGGGGTCTTGGCACAGAAAAATAATATAAAAGGTAAATAATCCATACTTTGATTGCCTTTTCATTTAGTGATAATCTATCAACAAAAATTAAACAAAACAGACAGTGCTGATTTTACAACCGATGTTCTGAGCTTGTGACTACTCTGTGAAAAAAAAAAAAAAATTGTACTTATCAAGCTTTGTCATTGCAACATGTTATTATACCAGCTCAGTGGCCTGCAGGTCTTCATTCACTCATACCACTGACTCTGAACCACTGCAACATAAGGTGGTCCGGCAGCCCCTCACAACTAAGGCCAGAAGAAAGGACCTGTGACTCTTCCATCTTCCTCTGTTATTCCATCACAGCTCCTGCTTCAGATGGCTGGCACTGTTCCCCTCCAAGTCAGGCTTCTTGCTCTTTGACGTCTTCTTGTTCTTCTTGGCATTGACATCATTCTGCTGCTTGTATTTGGCATCTTCCTTCTTAGCAGCCTTCCCAGGGAACACCTGTCCCTCTACGGTAACATCCATGCAGCGCTCCTGGGCCACAAGGAAGTCTTTGACTTCCCAGGCCAAACTACCATCTCGCAGCATGAAGATTACCCTGTTGGAGCCCACCACAAACCTGCAGGAGGACATGTGGATGAAACCAGGTACTGTTTGTAACCCAGATTAAATTTACCAGTAGAGTTAATTCTAGTGATCCTGCACCTGCTCGCTAGAGGGAGCTGTAACACATGGTGCTCCTGATTTCAGCTGAATTGTAGAAGAGACAGAAAACACTAGTGCTGCTCATAGAAAAAAATCTTAATGCTAGACGAAAGTTTCAAAGAGCTTCCATAAGCACTGTGCTTCTTGTTAACTTCAGGATTGATTTTAAGGTTTTACTCATTACTTTTTAAGCACTACATGCTCAAGCACCAGCATACGTCTGTGAACTTATATGCCTCTATCTACCTGCACGCAATTTCAGATCATTTGACAAAAATCTACCAACAGTCACGATCTAGACTGAGGTTTTGCTGTCAGGGCCCAGTCAGTTTTATAAACTTGCTTTTGTGTAACTTTGTTTTGATATTGTTTCTTGTTGTTTCTTCTGTTTTTATGGGAGTGGGGTGAGATGTATTATTTTGTATCATTCATGGAGCACTTTGTTAGAAAGGTGCTATAATAAAGCTTTCATTGGGTGTGAGACCAGAGGATTATTGAGACCAGAGGATGTTGATGTGCCTGTTTTTTTAGGATTAATCTGTAAATCTAAACTGCATTGAGTAGACTGTAGTCTATGTACAAAACATGACACAAATGTCACATCTTGAGTTGAGCATAAAGAGCGCCAAAATAATGTACCAAGTATCAAGTCAATCAAATGTGAGATTGTGATAATCCATAAAAATTTAAATAAGCTACTATATAAATTAAAAAGTTCAACATTTTGAGAACTATGCTTATTCTTTTCCTTTATGAGAAGAGTTTTTGTCTTCCTTTCACTCATTGAGACTATGAACAAAACAGGATGTAATCTTGCACGAGATATATGAAATACACTGTAAGAAAATGGCGGCTACCAGTGAAAATATTTTTCTAATATGGTACTTCTGCTAGATGGTATAACATCATAAGGTCATCATCAACATGAGTCAGTACAGTATCAATCAGTGGCACAATCACTTTAGCACAGTGTAGATTCTCAGAAAAAAAAGTTGGGTGTGTCCCCTTGATGGTACAGCATCATCTAGTCATCATCGACTTAAGTGAATACAACACCTGCTGTCACAGTAGACGTTATATGTAAGGTTACAGGAATGTCTTTAGTAATATTATACATATTCGTGGATTTGAGTACTTTTTATTAACCTAATCTTTTACTATTTTTTACTAATGCTATTACTACTATTATTTTGAAATATTACATGCCACAACAACATAACTACATATCAAAGCCTACTAAATAACAGAGAGGCCCATTTAACCCCGAAATATGCTGTATAGTTATCATGTCACAACGACAAAGCTCTCTGGTGCTCACTCAACTACCACATTACTCCTGAGAGAAGTGGATGTGGAGAGAAAGAACATGAAATCAGCAGAAGGAGAAGCTAGTTATTGTTAACTCTTAGCAGCCAGTGGCCGCAGTTAACTGTCACGGAGGTTGTACTGATTTAAATTGTGAGGTGTCAAGCTCTATTCAGTAAAAATATGTATTGGGATAAGGTTAATTATAACATTCTCATGATGTGTTCAATGTTATCTTGTAAAATGTAGCCTTTGGTGAGAAACTTGAATAAATACAGCTGTTTGAAGGAGAAATATGTTGATGTTTTCACAGCACTATAAAACAGATATTACAGAGGGAATTATGATGTATCATATATAGTAAACAGGCTTACTACTTATTTTTTTAAAGATATTTTTCATGTGAAAGAAGGTTATGTTAAAGGTTGTTTCATTAAGTGTGTATTATTGAATTTGTGCTCATTCAAAGGTAGTGTGATGAACGACTGAATGACTGTGTTTCCCTGGCACAAAAGAAGAATAAATAACAACAAAAAAAAACATCGGTATCGGCGAACGGCCAAATTGTTATTTTAAACATCAGTATCAGCAACAGCCCAGAATTTTAAAATTGGTGCACCCCTAAGTTCAAGAAAGGTAATTTGTACATTTTACTATTATTTTACGATGTCATATATTATTTCATTGTTTATTCTTCTGAGCAAATTGAAAAGTAATTTTTTTTTTATTGATTGTTGATTTACATGATGTACAACATGTTACTGACAGCAAATTAGAGCACATTTGTATCTTATTTTTATTGTTAGCTAGGTTGTGTCTTGCCTTGGGCACCAAATGTGCTAGGACTGCCACTGGTAATGAACACATTAATGCAACACTTACGTTATTCCAAAATGGGCCCTCCTGCAAAATGGGTACTTTTACTTTTGGTACTTAAGGTATATTTTGATGGTAATACTTTTGTACTTTTACTTAAATGATATTTTAAAGGCAGGACTTACTTGTAACACAGTATTTTTAAAATGTAGTATTACTACTTTACTGAAGTAAAAAATCTGAATACTTCTTCCACCACTGGATGTTAACATTAATTTATTGGAATATGGGTTTTCTTTTACTCACACATATTATTTTCAGACCCCCTTAATCCAATTAAGTGTGTGCACTGTTCATCTGTCCATCGTCTGTCTGTCTGTCTTTCTCTCTGTCTCTCTATTCTGTTCTCTCTATTCTATTTTGGAGCCACACTGTAAAGTTATGCAACATGACAGAGAATGTTGGGTGAAATCAACATTACGGTGCAGTTGATTCAATGTGTTTCAGCCACAATTTAAAGAGTACAGTAACTGCAATACATTCCTTGTCACCCAGGGAGAAAGTATTGTATGTATTGTATATGTATTTGGCTCACGTCTTGAGCAGCTGATAGTATTTCTACAAACCACCAGATGTCACTGTGCACACGGTGTTAAACGCTCCAAAGCTTCAAATCTTTTTTTCAGCACTAACTAGGAGAAAGCTCTAAAGCTTAATCAGGGTTTCTTAATGCGTAACTACCAATTTAATTTCTAAGGTTAATAACTTAACAAAGTTCTTGTTAATGATAAATGAGTTCACAGAGTAACTACCTCTGTATATCAAAGTTGGCGTTGAAGAGGCTGCCCTGCCACAGGCCTGTGATCTCCTCTGTCTCTTTCTCAGTGGGATCCCCTGAGACTGTAGCAAAAACCATCAGAGTCTTTCCCTTCTTGGACATCTTGAGCAGCTCCTCTGGCTTGGAGGGATCAACCTTGGTGAAATCAATGGGAGGAGGAGACCTCCTATGCTCCGGGAGGTCACCTTCTTCAATGTCATCATCCTCCTGTGGAACAATGAGAAGAAATGATGTACAATGAGTGACATTACCCAAAAACCAAAAAAAACTGCAGTATTTATGTGAATATTTAAGGGTTTTTTTGTTTTTGTTTTTGTTTTTTTACAGCTCACCATTTTTACAACTGACTTTACACAATGTCAGATACTGACTTAATGTTTTCAATTCACATTACTAGGGGTGAATGATACTGGATTATTTTTTTTGCCAATATCCAATATGCTGATATATAACACCTTATTTGGCCAATAACCAATACTGATTTTGATATATCCACTTTTTTCCCCACCTAATTTTAGTGATCATTAAGTTTCTTCTGTAGTGGATCATGACAGCCCACCAACAGATGGAGACATGACAAACAATACTTTTCAGTGTATGCAATATTCATTCATTGTGTAAAATGAGAAAAAGCATGGGCAGCTGTGGCTCAAAGGCAAAGCAGGTCATTGGCGGTTCGATCCCCAGCTCCTCTAGTCCGCATGTCAAAGTATCCTTGAGCAAGATACTGAACCCCAAGTGTGTGAGTGTGTTAAAAACTGAGTAGCAGGTGGCACCTTGTATGGTAGCCTTGGCCACCAGTGTATGAATGTATGTGTGAATGGTGAATGTGACTCGTAGTGTAAAAAGCGCTTTGAGTGGTCGGATGACTAGAAAGGCACTATACAAGTGCAGGTCCATTTACCATTTTACCATTTACCATGTTGGCCGATTCTGATAGTTCCTTTTAAAGCCAATATTGGCCGATACCGATGACGTTCTGATATTATCGTGCATCCCTACACATTACTACATTACACTAGTTCTCTTTACCAACATGCAGCCCAGCGCAACAGTTTAGATCTGAAATGCAAAACACTTAAATAGGTACAGTAACATTGCTACTGTAATTTAAGGTACTCTAACTTTCTGCATAAACCGACATTTTAGTACAAAATAAGAATGGCACATATTTACTGTTTTGGGATTGTATTGTCAGAAACACTGCTTCAATATTCCATCACACATTCCAACACATCAAATGACACAAAAGTAGTCCCAGTAATCCAAAAAACAAAACAAAAAACAAAACGTATATACACAATACATATATGTATCGAGTTCAGATGGAGTCAGCCCTGTCTTCTGCATTTGACTTATAATACACCTGGATAGGTCTACAGCTAAAATGCTCAAATGGAAATCCTCATGTACTTTTATTTTACTAACTTCTTAAATGTAGATGTAGCAAAACGCTGTCTAATTTAATATGTGTTTTCCTGGTGGTCAAGTGTGAACGATGTAGTAACTGAATACATTGTGTAACAAAGCACTGAAGGTCTCCACAGTTTGGTCAACATAGACTTCCCTGGACACAGCCTGTTCCAACTTCTCCCCTGTGGTAGGCGCAACAGAGTGGTAGGCAGACACAAGAACAGTGTTTTTCCACAGGCCATCACTCTGATTATTACATCACTCTACTGTAACTTTGTATGGCTGATTCTAACTGTGCTGACCGTCATCACACATAAATAGAGCAGTGAAAGCCAAATTTTACAGCTCACATCTTAGTTAAAGGCTGACGTAACTTTATGTTGATCTTTTTGTGCTAAATTTAAGAGTTTGTGTTTGACGGGTGTGGAATTCTCTTTTGTAAAGTTGAGGCGTGCAGTGTTACTTTGGTTTAGGGAGTGCAGCATTGCAGCTTTTACACTGACAGCTGTAGAATGGAGTACTGAGGAACGTAACGGGCGACTGTTTTACAAGTAACATGGGAACAGGTATGTTAACCTCTAGTACTGTCACACCATTTAAGGATTTCTCTCTCCCAGATTAGCAACTAGCTATTGAGACTAGTGACTAGGCTATTGATGAACTGTTACTGTCACTGTCACCGTATAAACTGAGAAGTTGCTCTTTGCTGATAACGCATGGGTTAATTACATTATGAACGTTCCCTTAGCTAGCAAACGGCTAGGCTAGTTGCTAACTAATATCTGAAGGCTGACTGAATGAAAACTATCACAGTAACCTACCTCCCATTGTTCCAGGAGCCGTGCCATATCTGCATCATTGTAATCCCGGATATCCTTCTTTTTCTTTGGCTTATCTTTACTGTCAATCGCTAATATACAAAGGAAATATGTGCACAAAAGCAGCACTAGCGTTACACATCTCCATCTAGAGTCAGACGCCATGTTTACAGATGGTGTGTTCTCATTGGCTTCGGAGCCTGCCGGTCACAAGACAGGAGAGGCGTGTCAGAGCTGTAAAAAGCTGACCGACGGCATGCACACCACATGACAGAATTTCAAAATAAAGCCTGAATTATTAAAAAAAAAGAAAAAAAAAGTAACACTTTCTATTGAAGTGGTTATTTTTATTGCTCAACCCTTAGAATCTCTCAAAGACATTTTTGCTCACTTTTATTTAACATTTTGATAATTTTTACCTTTTGATCATATATCTTTTACTTGTATGTCACAGTTAAAAGCATTTTAAAGGAGCTCCATACTATATGCAAAGCATATCTATGATTCAGATGTTGTTTGCAAAGGATCTAAACAGAGAGGTGACTGACCCCCTGTTCTCAATATCATGCCCCCGCAGAGCCGGAGAGCCATCTTTCTAGACATATGCATGCGCAAGCTTGAGAGGTTGGGTTATCTGTCAATCATTTTTTTGTTACTTGGCCAATCAGAGGCCCATAATCAGATTTAATTCAGCCAATCACTTACAGTAGTGGGACTAGTCAACATTTCAACTAGCTACATATGCTAGCACTAAACTCCCTGATCGTAACAGAATAGTAACTTCAACCACTGCTCATTTTAGAAGGACTACGGCAAGAAAGCATGTTTTTTGATTAAATTGTCAAACAATTAACAAACAGTGAATCATAATTGTTTGTTTCTGGCTGCCAGCATAGCATAGCTAGCACGCTAGCTAGGTTAGCTGAGAAGTTGTCTATTTCCACTTCAAAATGTCAATTAAAAAACACCTTGCTGTCAGTTGATACTTTGTCAAGGGTTGGATGCCAATGGATGGTCCGGACGGAGTCAAAAAAAAGACAAAAGTCCATGGCTCCACATCTAGGGGTGTGTGGACACTGGAGGAAAGACGACAGAACCTGCTGACATCCCGCCCTCCCTCTGGTTCTTGTAGCAGAGGAGCAGAACACAACCTGGGTCAACAGGGTTTGCTGGAGGCCCCTTAGGGGCTCAAAGCCAGGCCACTTGTCATCTTTTTCCTCAGGGGTTTCATGCCTCTGCCCTCCGGACAGGAGGACTTGTTACTCTAGACCATCCATTTGAGCACTAATCCAAGTCAAAGTATCAACAGACAGCAACGCTTTTAATCAACATTTTTTAGTGGAAGTATACAATCTTTCAGCTAGCTAATACTGGCAGCCAGAAACAAGTATCTCTGATGATCCATTGTCCGTTTCATAATCTAAACAAGAAGGAAGAAACAAGAAGGTCCTCCTAAAATAAACAGTGAACAAGCAGATAACGTTAGCTAGCGAGCTAGTGTGTTGGCTAGTGGAAAAGTTTAATACTTTGACTTTAAACAAGCAATTGTGAATGCAAAGCTATCATTATTTTTACAACAATGATCTAAAATAGATAGTTAGCAATCTCCATCCGTACAACGTGAAACGGAGGATCTGGTACTTGTATGCACACATCTAAAACGGCGGCTCTCAGGATCTGTGTTCTTTCTCAGCTTCTTTCTCAGAAGCTTTACAAGCAAGTGTTGTTTGTTGCTATGTATGCTCCAGATGTTGTAATAAGCCTTCATAGTATGTGTTTGCTTATTTCCTGGGCTCATTCACTTCAATTTAATTTGAAATAGCAAAGAAATCAACCCCAGTCACTTTCAGTCAGTAAAAGTAACACATACTTCAACTGCCTGCAAGATATGCAAGATATCAAAGAAATCACGAGCACAATGAAATTGTTTTTTGTACATTATGATTCAAATATATGCATCAATAAAAGTGAGGAAATATATTCAGAAGTTCTCCTTTTTTCACATTTGCTGTAGTTTTGTCAATGGGTTCTTAAAGAAATCTCGCAAAAGGGGGGACCCAGCTGTAAGCTAATGCTATTTGGGGGGTCTCGGCATGGAAAAATTTGGAAACCCCTGCTTACATATTTCCAGCAACAGGACAGAGTATGTGGGACTGGAACTATAGTGTGTGTGTGTTCATTGTAATGAGGGAACATGTCACCCTGTGCAACAGTGTGGCTCACTGATAACTACTTTTTGGACAGCAATGGAGCTCTATGGCACAGGAAACATAGAAAATGCCCATATTTATTATTAAAATGCAATAATTCTTAGGAAAAGCATCAATAGCTGATATTTTGTGCTAAATTGTTTCAATTAGTGCTCTCTTTTTTGCCTTTTTATGTGAATATGGTCAAAAAGCATGATAACAGAAATATGTCCATTAGCTGAAGTCAGGGGAGGAGTCTCCATTTTGATCAGAGGCAGGAAACACAGTTGATGATAACATAAAGGCCAGCATTAGACTGACACATTTGTTTTACTGTAACTTTGCTGCTACAATTTTGAACATAATGTAAATGATTCACTATTTTCCCTCATGGACCATGTAGCTACATTATTTAGACAGTGTTAGAAAGCAGTGAGTGAAGGCCGGCAGAGTTCAGGGGGTTGTGAAGCTCAGAGATCAGCCTCGCTGACACAAACTGTAGAGCTGTTTCCTCTCTGGCCGACTCCACCTAATGGCACTGTGCCCTGTGCAGCTGCAGATCCCACTGACAGTACAACAGCACTCACATTCACTAACATCACAACCTCCTACCAAGAAGAAAAGAGGGTTTGTTACCATGCAACATACCATAAGCTTTATCATTCTGTATGTCTCAAATACAGTCATAGTCTGAGAAAAAAGAAAAAAAATAAGTTTATTTTTGTGTTAAAAAGGAAAGGAACCAAAAGGAGGAAATTTATTGAAATAAATTATTCTAATATTTGCTTTATCATCTACAATTCCATGAAAGACCGACAAGATACGTAAATTATACACATGTAACTTTGAGAGGGCAGTGAACGACTGCTTTTCAGCAGTTTGCTGCTCCATTTTATGCTACAGATCAATGGTCCAAAACCCAAAGAGATATGGTTTTCAATTATATAATACACATGTGAGAGGCTGGAACCAGCAAATGACATATTTGAACATGACATATGCTTGACCTTTAAAAACTAATAAGCAGTTAACTGAACATAAGGATTCTTTGAGGAAAAGAGGATGAACAGATGTCAGTAACGTTGCTGAGAACCACTCTGGATTTTAAATGAATTTAGGTACAAGGGATTCTTTTAATGCAAAGTGCCTTAAGGTTTAACAATTTGAGACCACCATGATCACAGTCATTATGTAGGCAAGCACTAGTGTCCCTGGTTTTATATGAGAAGAGGCTGCTAGGCTAATCAATGTAATGTAAAATGCCATAAGCTTGTGCTAATAATGTTAGCATATTGTATTTGTTTAAAAAACGTGTTTCGTACAGGAAAGTTGTTATGTCAGTGAACTTTGTGAGTTGTAATGGAGCCAAATTGTGTGCCATTATCTTTGTTAAATGTTGCTGTTGTCCCTGGTTTTATATGAGAAGAGGAAAAGATCACTAGTAGCTAGGCAAATTTATAACGTAAAATGCCGTAGTCTTGTGCTAATAACATTAGCATATTGTATTTGTGGGGAAAATGTGTCCAGATAGAGACAAGTGTTTGTCTGTGAGTGCTGTGAGTTAAAGTGAAGCCAATTTGTGTACTTGTGTTTGAAATTGTCTCTATTAAGCCATATTTAATGTCTGTTTTGAATCTACTAAACTTAACAGCACTTGTGTACTAGTGTTTTGGAGGACATAGACACACCACCACAAAATAAATGCTCTCAACAACGTAGGCGACGTACGTAGGCGACGTGCGTAGAGTCTACACACAACCATAAATCTTGCTGTAGGCGACGTGCGTTGGCTACGTGCATAGGGTCTACGCACAACCATAAATCTTGCTTTAATATAATTTGCCATTCCTGCTTGTTTCATCATGTTGATGATGGCTTTGTAGTTGAAACTTATCCGTTTCTGTTCATTTTGCCTACATTAAATAACTACATTTACCTGTGAGTGCTGGTGTCCTGTTTGTTTTTGGATCCTCGCCAAAACTGTGTGCCTCTATTTTTAAGATTTTTAGAGTTGTGGTTTCTGCTATTTTTTATTATCTTTTTTTTAAACCTCAGTAATGCACAGTTGTTTCAGATAAAAAGCCACTGCTTATTATTTAAAACATAGTATAATATTATAAATTAATTTTTGTCCAACTAATAAGTCAATCTTTGGAGTTAAAATATTCTAAACATTTATAAATAATGTCTATGTGTAGGCTATACATGATCAAATGGGTTTTTAAAATCACCAAAAAGACATATAATAATTAGAGCAGGGGTTTTCCCGAGGTCATAATATTCAGTTATTTAAAGTCTTTGTGAAATATTGTTATTGATAGATCCACCTTATAAAAAGTCACACTGAATAAATATTTCAAAAATATTTTGTACTAAAATGTATTTGCACAACAAAAATATAGTAAAGGGCATGACTTTAGGGACATCAGTGGTAGCTACGACACGCTGTTATTCTTTTGAAACAAAAGCTCTGCTTTTATTTTGAATACACAGACTTCCGGTATCATTTTAGGTAGCCAGGCTAGTGGCACACTTGACGCAATTGGGATGTCTCATGGTAGATTAACAGCTCGTCCTGAAAGTAAAAGCAGTCGCTAAAGTCCTCGGAGTTCTATGGCTATCGGATAACTACAGTCGTCCCTCGCGACGTCGCTAACGTGAGCCAACAGCTACTTCACAGCAAGGGTAGAGAGGTCATTTTAAGCAAATGGTTGTTGTGTTGTTACAACTTAGCTCAGTCCAGCAGCAGCTCAGCCGCGACCACACCCTCCCTGCTTCCTCATAGTAGTGTAGCGGGAGCGCGCAGCACGACTTTGAATCTCTAAGGAATAACGGCTCCTTCTTCCAGCTACGTTTACGGTTTTCTGACCGTGGAACTTCCCAAGAGAAGTGAGTTCAATTTTCAAAGACCACCGACCGGTATGGATATTAGCGAGTCCCCACAGAGGATATGCGGGGCTGCACGGTCTCTGGTCCCGAGTTAAGACGTGGAGGAGGAGGTGGAGGGAGGACAGACGGACGATGCTTATGGAGTCGAAGCGACCGGAGCAACCGCTAACGTTAGCTTCTAACCCAGGGCTGTGTTTGAAAAAGAAGAGGTTGAAAGTGGATTAAAGTGTCTGTGTTGTTGGAAAGTCGCCCTCTCGGTGGATTTTACTTGGGAGGACTCATGAAATGATGTTGCTGGAGGGAAACGCAAGTCTTCTCGCTGTCCAGAAGAGCTGCCCGGGTGGTGCCCCGTTTGTAACCAGCATGAGTACGCCAGGCCGGTCAAACTCATTGGGAACAAGTCGGACAAGATCTCGGTGCTGTTTCAGGCTACTTGCTCCGATGCAAGTGGACACAAAATGATATCCTATTAATATTAGTTAGAAAAGACTGAAAAGCCAGCTTCTAAATGTTGAGATGATGTTTTCTTGGCTGTAATTATACAAAGACCCCAAGAAAAGGCATCTAACGTTACAAAAATAGTCATTTCATCAGAAGTAACGTTAATTCCAACTGGGAACATATTTTTGTTTCAAACAATAAGGGGCTTTTGACATTATTTTTATTATTCCCAATCCGCACTTTGCCGTTTAGAAGGCACCTTGGTGGCACTGCAGTTTGTGTGTGATTTTTTTAATTCATCAACCTGTGAATTCTTCTGTTCCACAAAAACCTGGGACTACCATGAGAATATTGACTTTTGGATTTTTGTGTTCAGGGCATTTAAATTAATTTGTCAAGATAAGAGCATATATCTTACTACACTGATTACTCTGATGTTGTGGTGATTTTGATTGACTGCCCTGCATTGTATAATTACTAATAACCAAGGCAGATTAAATGGGAATATACCAGATCAGTTTAGATTTGGATTATAGTATACTTTATAGACACAATAACTAATAATGGGGATGTCATTCAAACATGCGTAAATGCAGTAATTGAGTTTAGCTCTTTCCACATGTTTACATTGAGAATACATGTCCTGTGTCTGCATACAATGTACAGTTGATTACCTGTACTCTGAAGGAATTTAGGGAAGACTTTTTGGCCAGTTTTTATGTAAAAGAGTTTGTAAAAACATGGAAGTGATGCTTATCTCGGAAATGTCTTAAGCAGTGCAATGCAGTGTACAGCAGCAGACAACTATAAATAGCTGAACCCCTCCAGAAGAGCAGTTTGACCCTCAACCCCACCCCCCCCCACCCCCCAGCCCCCCCCCACCCCCATCCC